AAAAAACGAACGAAACGAACGAACGAAAACGAACGAACGAAAGAACTAACTAACGAAAACGAAAACTAACTAACTAAGAACGAACGAACGAACTAACGAAAAAAGAACTAACGAACTAACTAACTAACGAACTAACGAATAAAAAACTAACTAACAACTAACGAACTAACTAACTAACTAACAACTAACTAACTAACTAACTAACTAAACTAACTAATTAACTAACTAACTAACTAACTAACTAACTAACTAACTAACTAACTAACTAACTAACTAACTAACTAACTAGAAGAAGAAAAATCTGTACAATATTTTTTAAGTTACTGTCCCGATCTACAAGAACACGAACTGCTATATTTTAGCAAAATGACCTTTGATCTGGACTATTTCAAATAGGTTTTGATTTGAACGATAATTACACAATGCAACACTATGTATTTTGTTGCATAGTGTTATTGATTGATTAATATTGATTATATTTGTTAGAAAAAATTTATATTTATTGGTAGATTTTAGGAAAACATTTTGATCGTGAGCTTTTACACTGAAAACTACAAGAAAAAAGTGACTATCAGTGTAGTAGGACCAGAATTTGGCTACAGCCCTAATATATAAATATTTTCAATTTGAATTTGCAGATAAAAATATAAAATTAAAGTATTATTCTTCTAATTTCTATTGGTTTTTAAGCCCTTTTTCAAAGGATACATTCACTCAATTGTTAATCAGTCATATCTGCATAAACAATTGTATATTCTGTCGATATTTGTTGTCGTTCATTTGACATTGACATGCAAACAGATAAGAAAGAAACGAAATATAGAAAAAATAAGTAGAAAATAGTAAAACAGATACAAATAATTAAGAATTTGACAGTACACTTCAAACACAAGTATGTAAAGGTAATGATGTACTCATATATGTAGTGTACGTAGTAGACTGACTCTCAAAAAAATGATGCTTGAGTTACGCTTTTAAAATACATATTTTGTTATGTAATATGATATTTCCCTAAATATATTGGGTTTTGTGTTGACCGTTCGTAAGCTGAGACGTTTTCAAAAAACTATCTCAAAGGGGATAGTAATATACATGTTCAGTTAGTGAGTCAGTCTAATGTGTAATGTACATACATATGTATGTCTGCATATAATTCATAAATAGAACAAACATAAAGATACATATTACTTATTCTATAATGAAGAGCAGAATACTCTTTTTTGAAAATTCTAAATAAAAAGAATATAAAAATAAATATTCAAACACCCACACGCTGGGCTTGGAAACATTAAATTCTCAGTTAGAAATAATTTTTCGAGATTCTCTAGAAAATTTTTTATGTATATTATGACATGGTATTGACAGCTGTCAAATTAACAATGCAATTTATTGAAGCTTAAGCAATCTATCAAATTTTGGAAAATTTTGAACAATAGATTTTATTGTCAAAAGGTTTGAATTCTACTACTTGAAGAATTAATCGGAGATTCTATACACTGAATCAATAAAGATATTTAGGAACTGAATTTGTAAAACAAATTTATTTTTTAGGGTTCTTGAATTGAATGTCTAACGTTGGTAGTTTGATAACGATAAAGGAACAAGATACAATACAAAATTGTTGATATCGTCTATTTATCGGATGCTTAATTGGAATCTTGGGGTTAAAATCTTGCTAAGTCACTTAATCAGAAAGCTTTGACATAACGGATCTACATCTAATAAATCCACTGTGCAACATATGAGTAATTATATGGCTGCATAAACATTTATTTCATAACCATTGGCAGCACGAAGTACTACAACATATATCGTCATACCTTTTAAGAATATATATATACATAATGAGTAGATATATTATCAACGTAGAAACAGCAAACATTTGTACTATATAATTAGATATTTGTATACATCTGCAAATACAATTGTGAATAGAAAAACAGAAATACACATTAATTGAAAATTTTTGCCAGACAAATGGGCTGGCTAACAACAATTTAAAAGGCTGAATGTTTTATAATGACAAACAACTAATAATGCGGGAATGTCTCAATATCAACCCAACAAAGATCTGTCAACAATCTGTCTTCTCACTAAAAATACGAAAATTCCTGTCCATATGAAACCGCAAAATACCTTTATCGGAAACTAAAATAGGTATACAAAAAAAAAATCGGTGTTGGGTCCTATCTAGGGATAACAGAGACTCGAAATGGGATCTGAATCGAATAATGGCGCACTGTCCGTATAAAAGTGTGGTTATACAAATTCTAACTTACACATCTATAAATCATGAGCCCAACGTTAACTGAAGCTTTTAAAACATTGCTGGATATTCCTCCGATCATAAAACATGTAAGATACGAGGTGACACTGACAGTTGAGAAGCTCTTATGAAATAACCAATGTTACAAAACACTTTTTCGATATGTACCGGATATACTGCTAACGAAAGAACAAACGTACTTGCTATAAATGGAAGGGAACTTAAGAACGTTAATCTGATGCACTGAGGAAGGAATTAAAAACAAATGTAAAAAAATCTCACAATTTCAATAGTCTATAGTCTGGACTATAGATTGTTCTATAGTCCATAAAGTTTATCATAATACCAACACATTTAAACTAGTAATTAACAATAAACATTGTTTTAACGCTATACTACTTAGTTCGTATAAATCAATTTGAGATCTAATCCAACAGTCCAGACTGTAGGACCATTGAACAGTTTGCAGTCAGAACTATGGAACAGTCTATAGTCTGTATTATAGATCAGTCTATAGTCTAGACTATAGAACAGTCTATAGTCTGGAATATAGAATAGTCTATAGTCTGGACTATAGAACAGTCTATAGTCTGGACTATAGAAAAGTCTATAGTCTGGAATATAGAATAGTCTATAGTCTGGACTATAGAACAGTCTATAGTCTGGACTATAGAACAGTCTATAGTCGGGACTATAGAAAAGTCTATAGTCTGGACTATAGAAAAGTCTATAGTCTGGAATATAGAATAGTCTATAGCCTGGACTATAGAACAGTCTATAGTCTGGACTATAGAACAGTCTATAGTCTGGACTAAAGAACAGTCTATAGTCTGGACTATAGAACAGTCTATAGTCTGGACTATAGAACAGTCTATAGTCTGGACTATAGAACAGTCTATAGTCTGGACTATAGAACAGTCTATAGTCTGGACTATAGAACAGTCTATAGTGGACTATAGAACAGTCTATAGTCTGGACTATAGAACAGTCTATAGTCTGGACTATAGAACAGTCTATAGTCTGGACTATAGAACAGTCTATAGTCTGGACTATAGAACAGTCTATAGTCTGGACTATAGAACAGTCTATAGTCTGGACTATAGAACAGTCTATAGTCTGGACTATAGAACAGTCTATAGTCTGGACTATAGAACAGTCTATAGTCTGGACTATAGAACAGTCTATAGTCTGGACTATAGAACAGTCTATAGTCTGGACTATAGAACAGTCTATAGTCTGGACTATAGAACAGTCTATAGTCTGGACTATAGAACAGTCTATAGTCTGGACTATAGAACAGTCTATAGTCTGGACTATAGAACAGTCTATAGTCTCGACTATAGAACAGTCTATAGTCTCGGACTATAGAACAGTCTATAGTCTCGACTATAGAACAGTCTATAGTCTCGACTATAGAACAGTCTATAGTCTCGACTATAGAACAGTCTATAGTCTCGACTATAGAACAGTCTATAGTCTCGACTATAGAACAGTCTATAGTCTCGACTATAGAACAGTCTATAGTCTCGACTATAGAACAGTCTATAGTCTCGACTATAGAACAGTCTATAGTCTGGACTATAGAACAGTCTATAGTCTGGACTTTAGGACAGTCTATAGTCTGGACTATAGAACAGTCTATAGTCTGGACTATAGAACAGTCTATAGTCTGGACTATAGAACAGTCTATAGTCTGGACTATAGAACAGTCTATAGTCTGGACTATAGAACAGTCTATGGTCTGGACCAAATATATTTCAGAAAATTAGTTTGTTAAGGTAAAATCGATTTCACAGGATACCCAAGACTCCGCAGTGGGCACTTCTGAAATCCACTTTAGTGGTTATATATTTCATATTAATATCGCTATTGAGAAAAAAGTCATATAAATAAGAGTCTAATAAACAATGAAATCGTTACGTCTTAAATCATATTAAATATACTACTCATAACTGGTGTAGTATACCAGGTCCGTGCATATTTCCTTACTTGTTTTTATAATTAACAATATGAGTAAGTAATTAAATGAACATATTTATTAGTTGCTGTTTTTGAAACAGAATTCATTAAAACAGTATTAAAATGTTATATTGGCAGATTTATATCAGTCGAGGTTTCAAATAGTCAAACCTAATTAGAGTATTCGAAAAACCGGTTTGATTCATATTAAGAGGTAGTTATGAACCGATCATTACAAAAGATTTTGGTTCCTATTCAATTTCATCACCAGTTATGAGTCATAAAATAATTTTCTGAGTGGGACCTTATATATGGTGTTGGCTCTATAATGAACTGATCCTTATCAAAGTTGGTAGAGAAACTTGTTTATAATAAATATCACCATTTCATAAAGCTAGTTATGAGTGTTATTCATTTTCTAAAGGGGGATCATCGACCGATATTGCTCATGTTCTATACCAAATAGAGAATAAATGTTCAAAATTCAAGCTTCTCCCGTGTGGTCTCTATCGTGCTTTCAACAGACAGACGAACGAACAGAATTTAATTGGGTCCCAGAATATCGTCAATATACTTACGGTGAAATTATTAGGAAAACCCGGTTTCCGGTTATGGTTTTTGAGTACTCTAAACCTAATAGGGGAGCAAATACAGAAGAATTTGGATTTATATGTAAAATATTGAAACAATTACAAAAACAGTTGTTTTACGAAACATATGTATAAATGTTAAAATCATTAAAGTTAATTCTACGACTTCATTTCAACTTCTATTTTGCTGGAATTAAGTGGTCAAGACTTTTTAAGAATGTTTATTAAATATATAATTTTTTTCGTATTTAATTTGGATTTATTTCAAATTGGGGTAATATAAAATATGTTCAATCAGTTTATTAACAGTTTTATAAGTAATTTTTTAAAATTCTAGAGTTCTAAAGAAGGCTGCCCTGAAAATCTACAATTATATAAACAAATTTATGAAATTAAAAACATGTTCAATGATGTAAATTTAGAAGACATTCAGCAACCCGGGTTTGTCAGCGAAGCAGACAGACATTTTTATTTTAATAGTTTATTTTAAATCTTTTTATTTGTAGGAAAATGGTGCCATGTAAACCTATGAAAACCATATTTGACATACGTTTCGATTCCCTACCCAAAAATTGTATTACAGATCGCATACCACGTACATGTGCAGAAGCTACCGAATGCACTTGCTCCAGTGGTATCTATAATATTACAAATCCCAGCTATAAGGAAATAAATTTGACAATTTTTTGTGATATGAAGAACTATGGTGGCGATTGGTTATATATTTTGAGACGCCATGATGGCTCTCTAAAGTTTAATCGCCCCTGGAAAGATTATGTAAACGGGTTTGGTAATATTGCTGGTGAATTCTGGCTAGGGTTGGAAAATATTTATTCATTGACAAATTTCTATGGACCTCAAGAATTGTTTGTTTTTCTAGAGAGTTTTAAAGATACCACTAAATATGCTCGTTATGATAATTTTGTTATAGGAAGTGCTAAGGACCAATACAAACTTAAATCACTAGGCCAATATTCTGGCACCGCTGGCGATAGTTTGTTTCGAGTATTGGGCTCTAAATTTACAACTCTCGATAAAGACAATGACGAGATGAGTCAAAATTGTGCTGAAATTCGTGGAGGCGGATTTTGGTTTAAGAATTGTACTGATGCGTAAGTAGTTAGCTAAATAGTACTCAATGTCCAATAGTATTCAAAATAATTTTTATTTTTAGAAATCCTACAGCTAATTATTTTCGTGGTAGTTATACCAAAAAAGGCACATATAATACTGGTTCTTATTGGAAAACCTTCGAGGGAACCCGTTATTCCCTTAAAACTATTATATTCATGATTCGTCGAAAAAGTGTTCCTAAATTGGAACCAATTGCCAATTAATTTTATCAGAATGTGAATGTAAATGTTATTTTTGAATTAACTTAAAAATAGCATAGGTCGTATGTTCTGACTATCGATCATAATTACTAAAATGCCTTTTGTTTTCATCACTCTCACAAAATTTGTTATTAAGAATAAGTTGAAATCCGCAAAAAGTGAATAAATATTTGGTTTTTAAACTTTGTTTTAATTTTTTGTCTTAGGGAACTTCTGAGAACGTGTCACGGAAGTGTAGTGACTAAATAAACACAAAGCTTGGACCTCGCATACCTATTGCGATGTATGTATTCAAAGTATCTCTCGGAATCGTCACGAAAAGAACTATTGCGTTTTTTAGCGGCAAGAAAGATAAATCAACAGAGACTCATTACATTCCCTCGGATATTGTTGATATTGAAGTGTTATTCACTTAATGTACTGTTGGGGTCCATTATTCCTCTCTTTTGGAATAACAGTGGGGATATTGTTAATGGAATTTGGCTCTATGATGTACAATAATATAGCTTATAAGAATGGCAGCCATCTACCAACGCCTTTGAAATTTACTAAGGTAACTTAGTCTATGGTTTTCTTGATCGTCTCGCGAGCCGCCTGATATAGATACATTACCCAGATATATAAATGGTTGGACATCTTCAATATCAAAGTTCAATTTTGAACTTTTAGAGCTTAGTGTTACTGAAAGGCAAACCATTAGACTTTGCTATATATGTTTGATTATGTGTGCTAGAAGACATATGCCATCGAAAATGTTTAGATCTTCGAGGCGTCCAGTTAGGCCCCAAGTAATGCTCCTTCTTGTTCAGGTTGCCCAAGCATTATAACATTTAGTACTAAATTGAATAATAGTGGAGATAAAATCAGACTTGTTGAACATCTGAGTTAACTATAAAGGGTCTTCCAAGATCTGCTTTAAGCAATCCCGGTTTGATGTGGTTTGTCTATCGAGCCCTTCAGGTGATAAATTGTGGATCGGTCATTACCAGAAGTCTCCTTAGAGAATCTATATACGTAGATCCTTAGTTATATTTGCATTTACCGCAGTTTCAGCATTTGAGGCCATGTTTTGCGTCCATAATCTCTTATCACCTCGAGCACGACCTTTAACCATACAGTCTATAGGCGAGTATAGGATATGTAAGGTTGTTTTCGATTCTCATGTTCCTTCCTTAGTCTTCCTCTCTCATTGATTAGTTGCCAGGTCTGATCCGTAATCCTAATTTTGCTATTATATTTTTTATATTCGATTTGCTGTCTAGCACCAGTCTTTTCGTGCTGAAGTTCGCCAATATCATACTGTCTCGATGGCGATATTGTATTCTGTCGCCGAATTGCTGATAACAGCTCCTACAAGAAAGTGGCGGTCAGAGGAACCAGCACACAGTGGTATAGGAAAAAAAAAAGAGGGAAATAATTCGGTAACTTCTAAACGGTTAATCCGATTTTAATGAAATTTGGTATGCACAAAGAGGAGGTGTTGTCGAGTTTAGGTTTTGAATTTGGACCTTATAGGCCAACCAGGGGCCCGGCGGGGGGTCCTCAAATTAGGACACCTCGGCTATGTTAAATTTTTAAAACGATCCTATTTCTTCATTTGAGTTCCGATTTAAAAAAAATTTCGTATATAGAATCTCCTCATCGAGCACTATAAAAAATGTCGTCGTAGCAGTAAATTATCTCTTATAGTTTAGGAGATATTCGCATTTGAATATTAAAATTTTAAAATTTTTACCGTCCTTACTTTAGTTTTTTTGATAATAGCAGGTCCAAATATTTCCGATTTTCGCCATTTTTTTTTATTTGCTTAACAACAAGTTTATATACCAAGCAGTGAAAGAATTATGTAAAAATCATGACTGAGTCCAAAGTTATAGGCATTTAAATTTAAAAAATTAAAAAAAGGCGATTTTTTGTATTTTTTTTGGGAAAAAAGTATCTTTTTCTTTTTAAGTTATCTAAAAAGTTTCTAAGAAGATGTATATAGAATTTATACTTTTTGGAAAGCTGACTTTACATAAAGTACGATAAATGAAACAAAACCTAAAAATTTTTGATACCGAGGGGACCAGGTCCATCCAAAAAAACCCTATTTTTTATGGAAAATTAAATTTTGAGCAAAAATTCTCAAATCGCATAGTCGATATCAAATTATAGTGACCTGTTTTATATGACCCAATATGTTCTTAATCATTTTGTAACGGGTTTCGATAACCCCGCCCCTGGTATGGATATAATAGGCAAAAAACTAAAAAATCCCATTTTTGGGATTTTTTAAAACTTTTTTGGGAATTCCGGGATTTCTAATAAGAAAATTCGAAATTTTGATTTAATTTTGGATTTTAAGTAAAAAAATCTACCTAACTGTAAAATTTCATCAAAAAATATTCATAAATAAAATTTTTATTGCAATTAGAAAAATTTGTATCTTCGCAAAAACTGAATAAAAAACATTTTTTAATTTTTTTTAAAAAAAGTATTCCGCGAATTTTTTAATTTTCAAAAATTATATACAGTTTTGAAAAATAGACAAAATTACCTTTCCATTGATATATAACATGCCTACCTAATGTTTTTTAAGTGACAAATTAATTAGGGAAAACTCAACATCTTTTAGAAAATTTACCTAGCACTATTATTTTCATCCATATATGTAACAAATTTAAGAGTTAACCTTATGGATGAAAATAATAGTGCTAGGCAAATTTTCTAAAAGATGTTGAGTTTTCCCTAATTAATTTGTCACTTAAAAAACATTAGGTAGGCATGTTATATATCAATGGAAAGGTAATTTTGTCTATTTTTCAAAACTGTATATAATTTTTGAAAATTAAAAAATTCGCGGAATACTTTTTTTAAAAAAAATTAAAAAATGTTTTTTATTCAGTTTTTGCGAAGATACAAATTTTTCTAATTGCAATAAAAATTTTATTTATGAATATTTTTTGATGAAATTTTACAGTTAGGTAGATTTTTTTACTTAAAATCCAAAATTAAATCAAAATTTCGAATTTTCTTATTAGAAATCCCGGAATTCCCAAAAAAGTTTTAAAAAATCCCAAAAATGGGATTTTTTAGTTTTTTGCCTATTATATCCATACCAGGGGCGGGGTTATCGAAACCCGTTACAAAATGATTAAGAACATATTGGGTCATATAAAACAGGTCACTATAATTTGATATCGACTATGCGATTTGAGAATTTTTGCTCAAAATTTAATTTTCCATAAAAAATAGGGTTTTTTTGGATGGACCTGGTCCCCTCGGTATCAAAAATTTTTAGGTTTTGTTTCATTTATCGTACTTTATGTAAAGTCAGCTTTCCAAAAAGTATAAATTCTATATACATCTTCTTAGAAACTTTTTAGATAACTTAAAAAGAAAAAGATACTTTTTTCCCAAAAAAAATACAAAAAATCGCCTTTTTTTAATTTTTTAAATTTAAATGCCTATAACTTTGGACTCAGTCATGATTTTTACATAATTCTTTCACTGCTTGGTATATAAACTTGTTGTTAAGCAAATAAAAAAAAATGGCGAAAATCGGAAATATTTGGACCTGCTATTATCAAAAAAACTAAAGTAAGGACGGTAAAAATTTTAAAATTTTAATATTCAAATGCGAATATCTCCCAAACTATAAGAGATAATTTACTGCTACGACGACATTTTTTATAGTGCTCGATGAGGAGATTCTATATACGAAATTTTTTTTAAATCGGAACTCAAATGAAGAAATAGGATCGTTTTAAAAATTTAACATAGCCGAGGTGTCCTAATTTGAGGACCCCCCGCCGGGCCCCTGGTTGGCCTATAAGGTCCAAATTCAAAACCTAAACTCGACAACACCTCCTCTTTGTGCATACCAAATTTCATTAAAATCGGATTAACCGTTTAGAAGTTACCGAATTATTTCCCTCTTTTTTTTTTCCTATACCACTGTGCAGCATCTCTTGTTCAGAACATCCAGCACCTCTTTATGGCGATGTGATCAGTTTGAGTCTCCGTTCGGTGTTCAAGAGAACCTAACCTTATGTAATCTCCTACCAATAATGAGATTATGTTTTGCGCACAACCCTGCGAAAAGTTCTTCAATCACGTTCATTATCCCTATACGCTGTGATCCCATTATTCGTTCCAAATGTATGTTAGAAAGGGCAAGTTACGCATTAGCAATATAATGTCACCACAGGGGACATCCTGTACTATTCTTTCCAGTTGCCTATAAAACTTCATTGTTATCCCGAAGTATGACAGTTCCGTCGGAGCATAGAACTGATACGGCGGGACTGGTGCGCAGATGAATGAATAAAAATCCATCCGAATGGGTCCTTACTAAAATGCAAACGCCGTTATATCTAGTAACTCTATTAGGTTTGCCAGATTAGATGAAAGTAGTACCATCGGTGTTCGAAATCATCCTGCTGTCAGGCCATCTTGTCTCACATAACGCCGGAAAATGAGCCAACCTTGGTGGCCCCAGAAGCGATGTTATATTTCAGGTACTAAATCTTGTCTTTATTTTAAAGTCGTCAAATTACATTTGTTTGTGGATTCTGTTAAAAAGTCACATCCGACTATGGATCCGGGGCTGCCGGTTAAACATCCAGACATGCGATCTTTTTGGGAGTGATAATAAAGAGGCGATAGGTCATTATAAGAATAATTTGCAACTTGTGGACTTGGTGGTATCATTGTGAGTCCCCCCGACACCTCGTCATTATAACGATAATTGGTAACTTGGATACTTGGTGGGGTCCTTGAAGAGTCCCTCCGAGACTCTCCCCATAAAACCGTTGAAATACTGTCCACTACTGCTTATTTTATTCGCAGCTGTGCAGTTTATCTGCTGGACGTTCCACTATTCGCAACAAGTGGACACGTCCGGTCTAGCTGATGCTCCCCGATGCAGTTAAGTATCAAAGAACTGCTAGTACAGAAGTTCATTGATACTTATCCGCTGAACGGATACTTTAAGTATTGAATAAAACTTTCTGAAATAATTGTTTATTCATAAGAATTTAAAAAACACGTTTCTATACTCCATAAAACTTTGATAAATCTTTATGAATAAGTCCATAAGTATATAAAAAATTATTTTAAATGCCACTTCGTATATTATAATTATTTTGTATATTACAAATTTTCATTGCCAAGAAGATATTACGATAAACCTTGAA